TCCATGCAACTTGGGGGGAGTCGCCAACTGCAAGCGGCCTGATCGTTACGTGAAAAACACCACAATAAACCACTCGTCTTATTTTAACAGCTAGCACGGAGCAGGGCAGAGGAACCCCCACCCACGCTTGCACGTGGTGCAGCAATCGCGCAGCTACCGATGTGAAAACAAGATAAGGAGAAAGCCTGTCAACACTCAGACCTCCCCTACAGCAAGCGGGGCAACTGTGTGTGTTCTGCATGGAAGGGAAGCGACAGGCCAGAGGGCCACCTGGATGTTTCCCTAATGTGGCTGAGGCACCAAGCATGGCTCACAGGAGACTGGCCAGCAGCGCGGGTACATAGGCAAGTTTCTCATTTTAGAAGTTAGCTGAAGTCTTTTAAAGTGTGTGCGTGTGTAGTGACTTGGTGCCTTGCGGAAACCAGTCTGCCTGCTTAGAACTGGAAAATCAAAACCCACTGAGGTTGGCTGTATCTAGGAACTTCCCAGCAGCTTTCTACACAAGTAGCTGGACACGAGATGCGCACTCCATTTGAAATTCTTTCTGGCGCAGCTGAGATGCAGGAAGCAGTGAGCCAGTGCAAAAACCACCGCAAGCATCTTTCCCTGTCTGTCCGGAGCATCACCCATCTACTAGGGAATGAGGCTCTGTGTAAACGACTGCCCAGACAACACACCCCGGGTACTAAGAGAATCACTAGGCACAAAACATGGCATTGCAGAAACGTTTGCAAATGGTGTAGAAAAGTAACAATGGAAGAAGGAGCAGAAGGGGTGGGGGAAGGGAAACAGCAAGTATAGTCACATATACGCATAAAAATATCATCATGAAACTCAGTATTTTGCATAATAAGCTAAACATTAATAGCAATCAAATTGAAAACAGAGAAAACCCCACCCATTGTCTTAAGAGCAAACGGAAGGCAACAGTATCAGAGGAGTGGGAATGTTCATCATCTCCCTCATCTGTCAGAGAATAATGGGGTCACTACCACATGACCCAGGGAGACATTCTGAGTGCAGGTTGAAACATTATTAAAAACCCACCATTGGGGCAGTGGACATAATTCAGTTCCCACTTGCCTAGCATGCATGAAGCCCAGGGTTCTATTCCCAGGAGCACATAAATCAGGTTTGGTGGGGCACATCTATAATTCTACCACTCTTAGGAAGTGGAGTCAGAGGAGGATCGTAAGTTTGAGGCCAACCTCAACTACATAAGGTTCTCAGGACAGCCTGGGCTACATGGCACCCTGTCTCACACAAAAATACATCCAAGTGAAGAGAAGTTGGCACGGTTACAGAAAAGAGGCATCCGTGACCACCAGGCTGCCGTACCCAGTACAGAAAGTACTACAGCTAGGTCTCTCAGAGCCACATTTTCTACCTCCTTCTAAACTCCCCCAGAAGATGACAAGGGTTAAGAGAAGGAGTAAGTGCAGGGTTCCAGTTTGTTCCTCTTTTCTGAGACAAGATCTTACTCGGTAGGCCAGGCTACCGAACTTGCTAGGTAGACCAGGCTAGAGTCAAACTCAAGAGAGATCCACCTGCCACTGCCTCTTACGTGCTGGGATCAAAGGTGTGTGCATCATCAAACCTGGCTAAGGTTTCACATTTTAAAGCAGATCAATTGCTGGGCTGGGTGTGTGGCTCAGTCAGCACAGGCACTTGCCTAGCATGCACAGAATGCTAGGTGTGATTCGAAGCATCTCATAAAACCAGACGTGGCTGTAAAACATCTGCAATCCCACAGCTCTAGGAGCTGAGTCAGGCACAACCCTGTGAGTTCTAGGCCAGCTAGGGCTACGTGGAGAGGCCATGTTCCTAAAACCAAACAAGCAGCTCAGCTGTAAATAACACACACGGAGCGAGACAGCCTATGTTAAGCATGTGCTGAGGGGCCAGTTCTGGCAAGGAAACAAAAATCTCTTGATGTCAAAAATCAAGAGAACCCAGGAACTTTGGCACTCAGGGAAGCCACAGTGTAGGCAGCTTCTTGGTCCCTGTGCATTATTACACCTGCTCTCTATGGCTTTCTCCTCCACGGCCCCACACCCTAGAAGTTGACTGATAAATCTACTATATATGGATCTGTAATTTATTTTAATATTTTTATTAAAAATAACCCATTCATCTTTACTCATTGACAAAAAAAAAGCTTACATGGGCACTACACAACAGAACACTGATATGACATAACAAAGCAAAACCAGGTACATTGGAATACACCTGTAAGCCAGCAATCAAAAGGCTGAAGCAGGAGGATTAAGAGTTTGAGGTCAGTCAGGGCTACATAGTAAATCCATGCAACAGAAACACAAAGCAAAACCAAAACCAAAACAGGGCCAGTGAGATGGCTGAGCCCGAGATCGGGTACTCCAGACCAGCTAGCTCTCCCCTCCTCTCTGCTGTGTTGGCACTGCTTTCCTAGTGTCACACAGCGTACCCCTAAATCAAGCCATGGTTCAGTACCACACGTGCTCCCCAAGCCACCACAGCACCTCAGATTCTAGGGTACCATACAGGGAAGCTGCAGGAACCTAGAACCTAGCCACTGAACGTATGACTGCCTGAAGGAATGTATGAGTGACTGATTGAAGGCAGAGTTTGGCCTCGTCATTCTTTTCGGTTTGGTTTAGTTTCTTGTTAGTTTTCAGGCATCTGTACTGGCCTGTCCTTGGGGTAGACATCCTCAGCTGTAGCCACTGAGAGCAGCTCCTGTGCGCATTCATTGTGTTCCCTCTTAAAGGGCTCTGTCCACCGTCCCCCCCCGCCCGCCTCTCTCTTCTCTTCTGCCGCTCCTATCCCCAGAGGCCACTCTCTCCTCTCCCCTCCCCCCTTTCCCATACACTCCCCCCCTCCAACAAAAACCTCCCCACCTGAGCTCTGTCACACAACGTCTTTCTCTCAGGCACCACTTTTATTTTTTTTTAATTGCAACACATCTCATCTGGCCCAGGCTGGCCTCGAACTTGTGATCCTCCTGCTTTCACTTCCCAAGTTCTGAGATTACAGGTGTGAGCCCTCCTAGGATCTGTGCTCATCATCCCTCCGTGCCTCTGATTGGGTCATTGTCCCGCTGTCTCTTTAGATGGACAATAGGGATTTTCTGTTGTGATTTCAGTGTACTGCATGATTTGGGGTGTGGTGGGAACAGGGTCTCATGTAGCCCAGGCTGGCCTCAAACTATGTAACCAGGGCTGACCTTGAAACCCTGATCCCCGTTTCCACCTCCCCAGAAGATTACAGGTGTGTACCATTCACCCAGCTTGTGCACCTATCACGTGAGTCCCTGGATTACAGCGCTTATCAGCAGCAATTCGTTTGGCCTTTCCTTTGCTACCAGTTTCAACACTTCTTGAGGGGGGAAAAAATGTTTGTTTCCCTGTCTCTTTCAATAGTGTCTGGTATTAGTTGTGACTCCATAGGTGTACGTAAAAGGAAAGAGACTCCAGCTATTTCCCTACACTCTGCCCTTCCTTTTTCTGAGTGTTTTCGAATACTGTGTCTTTGCAGGAATGCCCTTGACAGTATTCAAACCCCCTCGTACACTTCTTCTGAGAAGACTGTATGTCTGAGACAGAGACTGGGCACCCCCTTCTTGTGTTCCAGAGGTCTAGCCAGAGCCTGGCATAGAGACAGCAATCAATACATGCACACTATCCAAAAGAAGAAAGAAGGACTTCACAGCAAAACACTTTCTTATTCTCCTATCTTATTTTATGAGTCCCCCAGCCTCCTTCTGGTAATTCAGCATAACCGCAAGAACATGAAATGGATTTGGACATTCAAAGAGTGCCTGCTGCCTGTTAGGTGCTTTGTGAAAATCCCTTAGTTGTCCCCACTTTGAAGGATGCCAGAGCACAGGTGGGGAAATCTGGCTTAAGACGACTCACGCAGTCAGTATTACACAGATTATATCATAGAACATGGACCCAGGTCCAAGTACACCCATAGAGTTTAACTACCCTCTGACCTAGCCTGGGATTTTTCTACCAAACCTGTGACCCTCTTTCTTTCTGTTTTTTGCTTGTTGGTTGGTTGGTTGGTTGTTGTTGGTTTTTTTTTTTTTCCTATTTTGGTTTTTCAAGACAGGGTTTCTCTGTGTAGCTTTGGAGCCTGTCCTGGAACTCGCTCTGTAGACCAGGGTGATCTCAAACTCACAGAGATCTGCCTGCCTCTGCCTCGTGACTGCTGGGATTAAAGGCACTCGTCACCACTGCCCAGCTATGACCCTATTTCATTATCAGAAACAAAGTTCTCGACAGATGCCCCGTGGGGACTACTGACTGTATACCTGTCCTCGGAGCAGTACCATGAAGTCACAAAGCAAGTCTTGCTGTAAGTCCAGGACCTGCCACAAATAGCCACTAAGGCATCTTGCTTCAGTCAGACTGACTCAGCAAGACCACGGGCCCCACAGTCACCAGCAGAAGGCGAGTCAAGGCAAGCTTTTTATTAATTCCCAAAGTATCTCCTTTTCATTTTAAAATATCCCAATTTGACATTTGGGGATTTTCCTACAAGCAGTGGGTGGCTACAGTAGTAACAAGCAAACCACTGTCCTTGAAAGTGGAATAAAAACACTCTCCCCATAAAGGTTGTAAGCCGTAAACTGACTGCACAGCTATGGGAGAACCCAGCAGAAGCCCTGCAGGGAGGGTCGATGCCCCCGGACATGGTCTAACTTGCAGTCCAGTGTCAAAAGCATCCGGAGCAAGAGAGGCCACTTTTCTTTCATTTGTGCCCAAGAAAGTAAGAAAAACACCACCGGCTGGATGGCAGGAGTCTCTGTCCATAAAGGAGCAATTTTCTCCTCCGAAAGCTAGCTCCAACATTTGTGTGAATTCAGGAAGGGAACGGTTATGCGCTTAGCTGGCTGAGGAATGAGCACTGTCTTGTGCATGCTAGATAAGCCCTCTTTACCACTGAGCTGCCTCCCAAGCCTACTTCCTGTTTCTCGGTGATGTTTCCAGAACAATCTGCATGGAAGGCCTAGCCAGGCCCAGGGCAGGTCATGTGGCCATGTGGTTTCGCTTTTCCAGTGATGAACTTCTCTGGAGCAGCACCCGTTTCAGAGAGAGAGGGGCGAACATATCCAGACAACTTCTTAGCCATGACCCTATATTTGCTTCAGATGATCATGGTCCAGGTGATGGGAGAAATCCCTGGGGTGGGGGTAGGGGACCAGAAGACCTGGGATTTTTGTCCTTGAATTGCCACATATTCACGGCTTTGGACAAATCCTTTAAATGTTCTCTGAGCTTCCTCTTTTGACAGAAGGGAGGGATTGGGCACAATGCCCAGAGATTTCCTCTTTGCTCTGAAATCCTGTGATAGTAATAGCACATACAGAGGGAAGACAGGAGTCTTGACCCACTCCCCCAGGGGTCACCACCTCAGACAAATTCTGTCTCGGGAACACAGGTGATTAGCTGAGGCTGGTATCGCCCACCTGCAGTTCCTACCAACAAGGGTATATGATGCAAAATACAGAAGCAAGGTAGAGTTTTGGAAGAAGGGACCAGGTCTAGGCCACAGCTTTCTCTCTGGATCTCACAGGTCTGTATCTAACTTTAGCTGTGGCTGGGCGTGCAGTACAGAGGATCTGGTCCCAGAGGTCTTGGGCAGGATGCTGGGATGACCACAGTAGGTCTGTCTGCTGTCTGTGGTCTCCAGTCAACTTATCTAGTTGGTTTAGGCAGTGGCTGAGCTGAACCATCTCACCAGCTTCCTGGTTCGCCCAACCCTGGTGGAGGCCAGCATAGTCCAACCACATACATTTTAAATGCCAAGAGAATATAACTCTACTTCCTAGCATCTCACTTAAGAAAACAACCAGACCTACAGGAAGCTAGCCCACAGTAGCTGTAGTTTCCGCGGGGCTGATTCTGCTCGAGGCAGTGTGCTTCTCCAGGCCTGCGGATAATCATCTGTAATCCTCCGTGCAGGGCTCTGGGCGTTTCGTTTCCAGTATTCTAAAGCCTTTATCTGTCTGGACTGTTCAGGACACAAGACTGCATATGTAAGTATGTTGATCTCAACAAAATCACCCATTATTTCTGAAAACTATGGAGCCGATTAAGTGGTATGACATACAATGGCAGAAATCAGATGAGAAGACCATTCGCTATGGAAAAGTTGCTCTAACTGTCTAACCTGTATGTAATTATATGTGATAACGTGAAGAACAGCATGACTGCTGGGGTGGCAGAGGCAAATCAACACTTGGCTAAGGGCTGCGTACCTCTTACTAATTGGCGCAGCCATTTACACCCCCAAAACAGGAAAGCAGGGGCCCCAAAATGAAACCACCTGCACTTGCAGGTATCCAACATATCTCTCAGACTGTGTCACTACGGGCCAGTGGGGGGAACCTTTAGGATGCAGGTCCTACCGAGAAGTTTGGTTGCTGGAGGGAATATCTTTGAAGGGGGCAATGGGGCTCCAACCCTAACCTCTCCCCCTTTGTTTCCTGACCACTGTGAGGTAAGATTTGCTCACACTCTTGCTACTGTGCTGGGCTGCAGGTCCAAAGAAGCAGAGCCAACTTACTATGAACTGAAACCTAGGAAACATGAACCAAATAAAATCTTCTTCCTTATAAGCCGACAGACTCAGGCATTTGGTAAGGGAACTTACATGCTACTTAATAAAAACCACCGTTCCTGTATGTTCTTGGTCTCTGCTGTGTATTACTAGTGCTCTCATTATTGCTATTAGATATTTAAGCGAGGGGCTTGAATCAGGGTACAGGGTACAAACAGCACAGAGCTGGCTTCATGACTTGACATCTTCTCCCACCTGGAGACACTAGAGAGCTTGGGCAGGAACCAGTCGAGAAATGCGGAAGACTCTGTGTCGGTGGGAAGTGCGTGTTGGGTTTCAGGCCCACCCGGGTTCAAAGTTGACCTTCCCTCCTGACAAATACTGTGGAAGTTAACTTTCTCAGCTATGAAATAAGTATCAGAGGTTTGTCCACTTTCCCAAGGCTGGGGATCGGAACCAGGACTTCACACATGCTAGGCAAGTGCTCTACCCTGGGTCACTCCCCAGTCCTCAGAGGGCTGTTGAGACTGGTAAGGATGACCTCAGAAAGCACAAAGCACACAGGGATCATAGAGTAGGTGCTGCCTACCCCAAATCCACTCCCCACTTCTGCTACTGTGACAAAATAGTTGAGAAAAATCAACTCAGCAGAGCAAAGAGTGCAGGGATGAAGTGTGACCTTGTATGAATGAGCATTTGTAACACGGGTAAGGCCAATGTCAAGAACCCTAAGGCCTTAGGAACCATGGAATGGCAAAAACTTCCCCGTTCCTAGTATGTATATTGACCATGCGTGCAGAAAGCATGAACCACAGCCTCCCCCTCCCTGTACCCTCGAAGGCTCCTCCTCAGAGACCCCTACTGCTATTACCTAGCTTACCTCCTGCTTTAGCGTAAACAGCTGAGTTTCTGGGCTGCCCGTGCCTCTCCATCAGAACACATCACCTACCCAATCCTAGCTTTTCTGTAGGTGTTTTGTGTCTCTCTGTCATTTCCTCATTCCCAGCCACCCAAATCAGGTCAAATCTATACAGGTCACAGAAAAAAAATAGGTGTGATGGCAGGCACCTAAAATCCCAACACCTGAAGGTGGAGGCAGGGGTTTCAAGAGTTCAAGACCAGCCTCCACCATATATTGAGTTTGATGCTAGTCTGAGTTATATTAGATCCTATTTCAATAAATTGAATTAAACTTTAAAAAAAATAGGAAACAATTTTCTTTTGTTTATAATTTCAGAGACTTTAGTTTGTGGTCATGTGGCTCTGCTGCTTTGGGCCTGATTGCACAGTGCATCCTGGCAGCAGGAGGACAGGGAAACCAGAAAGCAAAGCAAAGGGACTAGAGTGATACATAACTCCATAGTTATAGTCTAGACTAGAGTCTTATATTCCTCCAGAGGCATGTTCCCAACAACTAACTTCCTTCCAACGGGTCTGTGACGGTCACTTGACAATTATCAATTGTCAACTTGACAAAAGTTGGAATGACCTGGGAGGTGGGCCTCTGAGCATGTCTGTCTGTGGGGATTACCTTGATTACATTAACTGAGATGGGAGGACCTGCTGTTGTGGGTGGCATCATTCCCTAGGCAGCGGATCTACGCCTGTAAGAGTGGAGGATGCGAACTGGGCACTATCCAGGATGCATTTATTACTCTCGTCTGACTTCAGATGTAAATGTGACCAGATGCTTTAATTCCTTGACTTTACTTCCACTGTGGACTATAACCTGGAACTGTGAACTGGAATAAACACTTTTTTCCCTAAGTTGTTCAGTCAGAACATCTTATCCCAATAACCAGAACAAAACTCAAGACAAGGCCTCACCTACAATAAGTTCCTCTCCCTCCTTTAGTAGAATAAGGTAGAAAAGACCAATTATTAGCTATTGATTTAATTAAAGCACTGTGTGTACTGCCTATTTCGCCAAGCATGACTTCACTTGCTACCTAAAACAGAATGACATGGAGAAATAGCTAAAACAATGGATCATTGCTCTAAACAACTTAATGGTTGCCATGTAAGCTTCTGTAAAATCTTGCTTGTTTGCCCACCTTATAGTTTTAGAGTATAAAATGAGAATACAAACTGAAGCCCTTGGGAGCTGTCCTTCCCGGCTTTTGTCCACCGGTGACATCTCCTCTCTTCCACTCTCATTGACATCAGGGTGTTCCTCCCAAAACAAATCCTACAACACTCCCAACAGGATCACAGGCTGGAGACCAAGTTGTTATACATGCGCCTTCAGGGGCCATTAAAGAGCAACAATGCTCTTCCCAAACCAACACACCAGCTCACCCTCCTTCTCAAGGGCTAAAGCGTTCCATTTTTCAGGCTAGGCAGCATAATACTTCCCATCTGAAGGTCAGTATTTTGAGCAAACATCTCAAATAGAGGTTTTGTATCATGTCGAGTCAGTTGATCCATCACTGTTGCTCGATTGGGATCATCCAAGGCTCTAAACACCTTTCGCATATCTTAGATGCTACTTCTGACGTTTGTAAACAGATGGAATTTTTTTTTAAAAAAATGTTTACCTTTTGTTTTTGTTTTTTGGGACAAAGCCATGCAGCCCGATCTGGGTCTTGAACTCGTTGCATGGGTCAGATTAGCCACACGTTCTGGTCCTTCTGCAAGATCCCTCCTCCCTCCAGCATGCTGGAATTACAGGCGGCCATAACGACCTCTGTTCTGTCTACATCTGTGCAGCTTGCAATAAACCTTCAACTTCTCATACACGTTACATCTCACTTCACCGGAGGTGTGAAGATAATAGCAATGACCTCATTTTACTTAGAGACAAACAGGAATCACAGACATCGATTTGTCTGAGAGCAGTTGCACGTGGGAGTGGATGTGGGAAAAGGAGATGGGGAGAGGAGAAAGCAAGGCTAGGAACGCTGCTAAATGCATTTGTAGTCTAGGCTCCCTCCTCCTCCCACCCCGCCAGCTCCTCTCAGGGGCCTTTCTTTAGGGTCTTGTTCTTTCCTTAAAAACAACAGCCAAGAGACTTACTCACTCTGCCCAGATTCAGTCCCCAGACGTTTATGGTTGTTTTCATAACATTTCAGAGCATCTGAGCATCAACCTTTCCTGTAAAGCCACCCTTCCACAGCTAACAGTGTGGTCTCTGTTGCTCGGGGAGATAGCTACCACCCGCTCCCAGCCCACAGACCTGGATTCAAGTCTGCTGATCTATACCCATGGCCACGCATCCCTTGGCTCACTCCTGCCCTTTTTTTTTTTTTTCACTGACATCTGTCTGTTTCAACTCACTGGAGAAGAAAGCTATTTGTCAAGGGTCCCGGGCTGCATCTGGTAGTCTCTGCTGGGTCTTGAAGCAACCTCTAATATGTCCTCCCTAAAGACTTCTGCATCGTTTCAGACCCCAGCTGGAGCAGACCTCAGAGAGCTCCCCAAGTGAGCTGTAAGGAAATCTACTCCACTTCATGCTCCAGGAGCAGAGGAGAAGAGGACATAGCTACCCCGGGCCGAGCCTGGTTTCTAGTACACCCCACACTGTGGAACCCAGTGAGACCCACTTAGCTTCTCTACGCCTACCTTTCTCATCAATCAATAGCAAACATGCTCTATTTAGGGTTCACCCTAAGAGCTATGTGATGTCAAGGAAGACTATGAACATGGAAAGGCTTTGCCAGCTGCAATGGACTAGGGAAACAAACACATTGCTAATATAGCACGGATGTTTTGCGCTGTATATTGTAAAACATTCATCTTGGCCTATAAATTGGCTGTATTTGCTCTTTGCTAACCGTGGGGAAATAGCTGAGGCAGCTACTAATAAAGAAGAGAGGCTTATTTAACTCAAGCTGTGGAGATGGCAAATGAAAACAGTGTAATGCCATCTGGGTGTCACTTTAGCTGGACAACCTTGTGCTAAAGGGTTCCACGGCGGGATTGCGTGGGACCGAAAGCTCAAATCACCATCCAGGAAAAAGTTAGGGATCAAGCCTGCTCTTCGATTACCTACTCTCACTAACAATACGACTCTGACTACTGAGGCAGAAGTTTGAAATTTTCTGCTACATTTAAAACACACACACACACACACACACACACACACACACACACACACACAATAGTTTATTAACATCCCAGTCTGTTCCTATTCACTGGTGAATTTCACAGAGCAGGTTGGCCCATAAGCCTTAGTGCAGCAGCATCCTTTCAGCAGGTAAGGGGCAGCAGCATCCCAGAGCCGGGCTACTGTAGATCTTCCAGGACACACCCTGTTCGTGGTGTCTGGGCTGTCAATCAGAAACAGATATGCATGCCAGGAAGTGGTGGCACGCCCCTTTAATCCCAGCACTCAGAAGGCACAGGCAGTCAGATCTCAGGGTTTAGGGCCAGCCTAGACTACAAAGCAAGTTCCAGGATAGCCAGGGTTACACAGGGAAAACAAAAAAAAGTAAGTGATCCATACCTGAGGCTCCAGGAACTAAAGGAAGTGGAAAAGGGAAAGGAGGTTTGGAAAGAGATTTTTGTTTGTTTGTTTGGTTTTGTTTTCTTGAGACAGGATGTCACTCTGTAGCCCAGGAGGGTCAGATTGGCTACACAGACTAGCCTAGCTGGTTTTTTGTTGCTGCGATAGACACCATGACCAAAAACTACTTGGAGAAGAATGTGTTTATTTCAGCTTATACTTCCAGGGCATTCTTCATCATTGAAGTCAGGGCAAGGGTTCAAGCAGCAACTGGAGCAGAAGCCAAAGAGAAGTACTGCCCACTGGCTTTCTTTCACAGCCCAGACCCACCTCCCAGGAGTGGGACAGCCCACGGTGCCCCGGGCCCTCACGGACCACTAAACAACAAGACAGTTCCTGGCATACATAGACACATTGTGATCTGGACAATCCTTCGTTGACACTCCATCTTCTCAGGTGACTCTTGGTCATATCAAGCTAACAATAAAAACTAAGAGGGACATAATCCAAGCTGGCTTCAAACACATAGCAATCCTCCTGCTTCCGCTACCAAGTGCTCTGATTACTGAATTTAAAAGAAAAAAGATCCAGCCTATTTCTCAACTTTTCATAGGAAATAATAAAAGCTGGGTTGGGCATGGTGGTAAAGGCCTCTAATTCCAAATTTTGACAGGCAGAATTCAGAGTTTTTGACGTCAAGGCTGTGTGTGGAAGCATGGGCCATAACATGCATAAGGCCGTCAGAGGACTTGGTTCTCTCTTTCCACTGTGTGGGTCCAAGGAACCACCCAGGAGTCAGAAGCAAGTCCTTCTGCCTGCCTCTCTGCAGCCCAGGGGCTGTTAAGCAGCTCTGTGGCAGAACAGACGCACATTTAGGCCAATCCTGAGTTCAGTCTCCAGTGCCAGGAAAAGAAGGCACGGGGCGGGGCTCAGAGAAGGCAGACTGGAAGGAAAAAAAGGATTTTCAAGGCTAGGGCCCAGTCCTTGCTCCTCACCTGGGACAAACGAACTACCCTGTACCTCTCTCTCTGTTTGTTTACAACTCAGGGATGTTACCAGTGTCTGCCTCACAGAACCATGAAGGCGGGGTACGTCTTTCAAGTGAAGGCAACAGTCTGCACGGAGCTGGGATGGGCGTCTGACAGCACCGGTGGCTCTGCTGGGCCAGTCACAGAGTCAGCTACTAAATAAATGAAAACGGCTATGATTAATTATTTAGAAAAAAATCCAATTTGTGCCAGGCCTCAAAGTGACTCAGCAGGGCTCTTCTTAGGAGGACAATATGCCACCCCACCCCCACCCCTCAAGCCCATTGAGCTTTCTGAGTGGTTCCATGAGGACAGGTGATTCACAAGCCATGGCTTTTTTTTTTTTTCTTTTTTGACAAAGCAGGGCAAACGGGGTGGGGGAGGGAAATGAGGGGAGGCACAGGCCAATCTGGTCCTGACAGCTGGGCCACCCTGGATGGCAGAGATGAGTCAGCTCACTGCTGCTATGCTCAACACAAGGCTCCCGATCCTAGGCAGGGCATTTCAAATCACAGATGCCCAGAAGGATGAAGACTGTGTGTGATAATAGTCAAAGGCTTCTCTCTGCATTTCCTCCTCAAGGGCATAACAGGCTTTTCTCAGTCTCTGAGTAGATGTGTGTGTGTGTGTGTGTGTGTATGTATGTGTGTGTGTTTACATTACAAATACATACAGGTACCTGGAGGCCAGAGGTTAACTTGGATATCTTCCTTAGTCCTTCTCCACCTTAATTTTTGAGACAGGGTCCTTCACTCCCTCCCTCCTTCCCTGGCCCCCCTCCCCTTCGACCTGGAACCTGCTGATTCAGGTTGCCTGTCTAGCTGTCCAGCAAGCCCCAAGGATATGCACTCTGCACAACGGAAGAGTGCACGGGAACCTGCATCTGTTGCCTCACAGGGCAGAGTACTAGCTAGGTGTCCAGTAGAAGAACAAAGACCAGGACACCCAAACAATGGATGAGTAAGCTCCCGTGTGTCAAGACCTGGTGCTTCATTCGAGGGCAACTGGTACACATCCATAGTGACGTCCTTGGATCTGATTTCAGAAGCCGCCATTCCCTCTGCCTTGCCCAGAACCTACGCTATCAACCTCAGCATTATCCTTTTGTGCACAAAAAGCAAAGAAGCAGAAGTGGAAGAGGGCAAAACTCCATTTCCTCTGTGAGCCACTGCTTCTGTCTGCCTGGGAACTTGGACCGGAACTCAGAAAGAGATAAAGCTGACAATCTGTACTTCAGAAGAGGTGGACTTTCTGGTTGATTTCTTTTATTTTAGTCAGTCTTGAGTGTTGCTACAGAAAGGATTACTAAGAGCCTGAGGCAGAAAACTCAGGAGTTTGCATTCATTCTGGGCTACTAATGAGTTCCAGGTCAGCCTGGGCTACGTAAGCAGACCCTGACTGAGAAAACAAAACAAAAAGGTCACTCCAGTGTGCTGCCAATCTGGGTGAGAGAACACAGAAAACAATTCATACTATTAGTCTTTTTAAATAACCTTTACAATAAATGATCACTACTCTGAACAGCAAGATTTCAATAAACATAGATGTTTAAATGAAATAATTTATAGCCAAACTTTGGGAAGGATATAACACTTAACCTAGCCTTCATTTTGCTTCATTTAGCAGGGTGTGGGAGTTAGTGTTCATCACCCAACTCTAGAGACGCTGACATAAGAGGTTGCCACAAGTTCAAAGACAACCTAGGCTACATAGGGAGAGGCAGACCAGTCAGGGCTATATAGCAAGGCCCTGCCTCAGATACATGTATTTGAACATTCACATGTTATTTCAGGTGCTAAAATTCCTTGCCCTACGCAATGTATTTTCCCAAGACTGGCTGCTAACTATATTTGACATTGACAAAGCAACCCTAACGCTGCACAGCCCGTAAGCAGTCATTTGTAACATGTCAGAAAGGCAGTTAATTTTGCCTTTTAAGCTCCGCTCTCCTTTCAAATCAACTCTGCTTGGAATTCAGCTGCCAGTTTCAGTCCTAGCGGGGTAGGGGCCAGTTGCCCATGAGCCAGTCACATTCCAGTTCTGGGCCTCCATTTCCTTACCTGAAAAATACAGGTTTGGTGTGGGGACCTTCCCAATTTATTTGACTTTCACAGTCTCTCTGAAGTATCTACGCCAGGAGGTATTATTTGAAAACTGAAGGTCTGGAATTTTCTAGATAGGGGTCAGCAAACAATAGCCCTTGGCCAAACCCAACTCACCACTTGCTTTTCAGGGCCTTGCTTTTCTCCCCAGTCCCTATGAACAGTTTTTACATTTTATTTTATTTTTTGAAGAATAAAACTTCATACTACATAAAACTTACATTAAACCAGACTCAATAAGCTTACCTACCAGAGCCCGGCACAGGTTGCTCGCTCGTGCGCATGTGTTTGTGTGTGTTTGTGTGTGTGTGCGTATTGTCTCTGTTCTTGTTTTGTAACAGCAGCATTGAGCTGACACCAAAAAGACCACCTGACTCATGGGGCCTAGAATATTCTCTCTGCTTCTTCATAAAGTTTGCTATCCCTTAGTGTAGAGCAGCAATTCTCAATTAGGGGATTCCAACTCCTTCTGGGGTCGCAGATCAGATATTTACATTACAATTTATAACAGTTGCAGGATTAGTTATGAGGCAGCAGTGGAAGAATTTTATGGTTGGGGGAACTGTATTAAAGGGTCACCGCGCTCGGAAGGCTGGGAACAACTGGTGTGGAGCAGGTGTCTGGAACGTGCACAAACAGCTGTGTCCGAGGGCAACTGCCCTGCTCCAGGACCAGCTACAGATGCCCAGGCCACAAGAGCTCAGTCTACTCACAGGTGCTTTGTATCTGCAGCATCCCACACAGCCTCCCTACACCTTCTATCGTTCTAGAATATTTATGAAAAATAGAAGTGTTACGTCAACAGTTGATTACACAATAATGATAAGAAAACAATCCTTTATGTTCAGACCTGAGGATTTTTTTTAAGGCAGGGTCTCACCTAGGTAGCACCTATGACCCTTCGCATCCCAAGTGCTGGGATTACGGGCATGCACCACCATGCCTTGTTTGTTTCTGTTTGTGACACTGGGGATGACATAGGGCTTTCCACACGCCACACAAATGTGCTAATAATTGAACTATACCCATGACTTGCACTGATTTCGAATATTTTTAATACAAAGTTGTTGGTTCAATCCAGGGATATGAACCCTTCAGCTATACAATGCTTACGGTGAATGCCAGTCCTCAGGAGAATTTACTAAAGTGACAGCTCTCATTTAGCAGATTTGGAATGGAGTTGGAACTTGACACTTTTAACAGGGGTGGAACCTCTCAGGCAGATCTGGCAGACCATGAACTTGCTCAGCAACCTTCAGTGTGTTTGGAAGGCTTAGCACAAATGTGATTCTTTCTGTCTCCCTAGCTTCACTGCCTGTCACATACCCCATGAATGCACGTCTGGGCTGTGTGCATGTGCCTTATCCATCTTACCTGTGTGCACAATGACTGCCTTCTCAGTCTACCCTGCCATATTCAACACACACAATTGCCTACCATCTTGTCCTCTCAAGCGCCTTGGCCTAAGCACCTCTTTGGAGCTCTTTCCTCAGTTCCTCAGTGGGCTGAGTGGGTCTCTTAGCTAGTACCACGCAGTCCCCTTCATAGTCCGAGTCATGTGTTTAGGACTTTGAGGTATCTGAGGACAGAGGTCTGGTTTATTCCCATGTACCCACTCGCCAAGTCGTTCTTGGTATACAGTAAGACTATAATGTGTGCTGTCTGAAACAGAACAGACAAATTGCTCAGCACTACCCAGTCCACAAGTGAAAAGCAGGGGCTACAGCTTAACCTTCTGAGTCCCCGTGTGTGGGAACTTTTCCTCAGACCACACCCCACAAATGGACACTCTCCGCACTCACTCATGGTGGATTGCGTTCTACTCTATTTCATTAGGAGTCTCAGGTTCTACACTGAAGTGGTGGAGCAGAGCAGAGCAGCCCCCTCCCCTGCTGGTCACTGCATGGAGCACTGAGAATTTCTGATCCCAGGCATTCAGTGGTCCTGAAGGTCACTCTCGGCCTCAAGGAAGCAGGTCCTGGGAGCTGCTGGTGGTTATGGCAAAGGGCCGCCACCCACAACGGTGAGTGACAAGCGAAGGAGCATAGCCAGTGTAGGATATGTAGTGAGAAGGACTGGAAAGTGATTTGGTCTTTGCCGCCAGTCCTCCAGGCTGCAGGCATTTCCCTCTCATTTTGGGGCTTTCTGTTTCCTTATTGGTCACCTGGGCCCAGAGGAATGTGGTACAGCCAGACATCTGTAGGCTGATTGCAGCCACATGGAAAGGAGAAAGAAAAAAAGTGTGGTGAGCACTGGACACTGGCCTCCAGCTAGTGAGAGGGATAAGGTGGGGGTGA